TGCAGCCTGCACCAAACCCACTGGCCCTTTATCAACATTTTGGGGTCTGAAAAGGTGCAAATGAGTCAGGGGTCCCCCAGGAGGGCATATGGAGACTCAATTTATGACTTTGTGCCATCATTGCCCAACTTGCTGTGTCCTGGCAGGTGATGTGAAGGCAACATTCGGCTGCACTTTGGTCTCAGTTTGGACTGAATGTTGTAGGCATTCAGCAGCGAGAATCTCTTACCAAATGAGAGGCAGGAAGGCTTGTAACTAGTAGCTTAAATAGTCTAATTAGCTAACAGCTTTAACTATGTAGACTAATAATAGTACATTACTAGGACTATTAATGTACAATTGTATTGCACTACTGTACTTTTTTGTACAATTGTACAAATTGTACTAGTAATGTACTAATGTCTTGCATTGTATAAGATGTATAAAATTAACATTTTAAATTGTACTATTAATGGGCTACTAATAGTACAGTAATATGTTCTTGTAGTACATAAACTATTAAACCAATGTGTCTCAGGACTCCCCTAATTAGTGGGGATGCCTCATTTCTCCTGTTCTTTGAACCTTATGCGTGTCTGGGGGATAAACTCTTTACCCAGTGAAATGTCCAAACCCAGGGTGGTTTTACAGGTGTAAGCACACCCCACGGAGGGAGTCTGTAGAGATTTTCATGGTGACACTTCCAGACACAGCCAGGGACTTGCACGAAAGTCAGAGTGTCTTCCCCTGCCTAAGTGGAGATGCAGCAACAGAAGAGTCAGAAATGGCTTATTCCTGTAGCATGGACCTGATGTGAACTGTGCTTGGTGGCAGCCCTGGGAGCTGGGAGGCACATCTCTCCCCAGTCTGTCACGTAGCCTGGACACCCTGGGTCAGCACAGAGATACTGATCTGGCTGCTGACATGGCTGGGGGAGGTCCCAGCTGCCCTGTGCATCAGGTCTCACCAGCAATCAGGGCCAATTCATTTATCTTGGTGTCCTGGGGCTGGTCTGAGGCCCCTCTGTAACACTAACCCTGGAGCTTTCTCAAGGATCTTCCCTGCTTAAAGGCACCAGCCTGAAGAGCAATGTCTCTTCTTGACTGGCACTAGTATCTGCCTCCAATCAGGCTGTCTGCCCTGGGATTTGTTACAGTGCTTCTGGTGAGACACGTGCTGCTGCCAGCAGCAATGACTGCTGACTGTCCCCTCTCTGCCCGGCAGTGACAGTCTCAGCCTCCAGGCATAACACTGTGCACCAATGGTATTTTCAGCCTTGGCCTGGCCTTTACATTAGCCTCAGGATTCAAAGCCATTGCATCACCCTTTGCTCCCAGTAGGATGTCCTTTACCAAGAACAGTATCCTAAGGTTATTGGAAAGCCATTGCATCACCCTTTGCTCCCACTAGGATGTCCTTTACCAAGAACAGTGTCCTAAGGTTATTGATTTCTTATATAAGTGCTAGGAAGTGATCAGAGGCTTGTCCAGACCCAGTTCTTGCTTCTGAAATGTCGTTTCAAATTAGTGTCGTTCTGGCCCTGCTTCATGGGGCAAAGGAGCAGGATATGTACAGTAAGACCAACAGCCTGCACAACAGGACTGTAGAACTAGCAGAGAGCAGTTTGTAAGCATCACAACTACCCATCTAGTGACCTCCACAGAGAGGGCCCATGGGCTTCCAAGAATCACTTCAGCTGGGTCATGCCAGGTGAGCTGGCCAGAGACTCGAGCTGTGGGTGCCACTGCCCGACACCCGTTTCTGCAAGGGGCACTGGTGAGGCTGGTTCAGGCACGAGTGCCACGCAGGTGTGAGTTAGGAACGTGCCAAAAGGTGGAACAAAGAAATAAGCAGCACGACAGAGTCCCACCTTAAATAGCAACTGAGAGGGACAATGAGCAAATAAGGACTCTGCTGCACTTCTCTTTGCACAACCAAGTTGTGCTACAGAAACTAAGTGCACAACTTGGCCAGCCACGGGGACTTTGCTCTTTTTTGATAACAATTGTCCTTTTGCAGCTGCTGTCCTTTTTCTCATGAATGCGCAAGGCTGGGGTAACCCAGTCAGCATTCTGTTAAACGTAGAGATGCTGCTTGGTGAACACTTGGACACTTAGGAGGAACAGGAGAAAAGGTCCTGGTACTCCTCCAGGTCTCTTGGGGGCTGAGTGAGAACTCCCCTGTGGGACAGCAGCAAACCTGGCTCATGGGAAGGACTGTCTCAGTGACAGAGCAAGGTGGCCAGGGGAGCACACACAGGCCAGGAGTTTGATTGCTTGGCAACCAATATCCCCCCTCAATCAATCAGTCTACACTCTCTCCTCATTCAAATTCCTGTAGCTTAAAGAAAGGGACAGTCTTTCTAGTAAAGTATCTTGAACAAAACAGATGTCTTAGGCTTGTACACACTGCTGAACACTTCGGTTTGATTTTATTTTCTAGGAAGACCTTCACCCAAAGAGGATTTAGCAGCTTTTGAGCTCACAGGCAGAGGCTGAGTAACACATTTTGCTTCCCTGCAATCTGTATTTTGCAAACAACTGATCCAGAACATAGTGTAGCTCCTGTCTTAAAGAGATACCGGAGCCTTCCCATGTTGAGAGCAGGCAGCACGGGACCTTCCCTGGAAACCCTTCATGAACAGGTGTCCGTGAAGGGACCTGCACTGCCTGATCTGGTCATGGTGTGTAAGCCTCAGCTCTGGACTCCAGGCAGGGTGTGCTGTGTGCCACAAGCAAGCTAGAAATGTGTGATGGATTTACCTCCTTGCCGGCAACAGTTGCTTGGTTTGACAGAGACTCTGTGCAAGGGACCCAAACACTGTGCAGAGTGAGGAATGCCACCCTGCACTTACGATGTCTCAGTCATGATGAAAAGATGCCAAGGAATTAAGAATAAAGTTGATTTTCATGACACAGCCAAGAATGCAGCGACAAGAGTTCTGGGCGAAGGCCACGTTTGGCAGTAACAGTTATCCCCCAGACACGTCTGCTGCCAGCAGGAAAACAGACTGCTGGGATGGTGCAATGAAATAATCCACAGAACAGGTTTTCTAACTGGGAAAGGTGCTGTGAAGCAGCTTCTTTCCAACCTGTTTGTAACCAGTTTGTCTGTCTCCTGACCTTTCTACCCCACCTACTTATCTCTTCCTTCCCTTTTCAGACATTTTGAAGTGGCACCCAAATGGAAGAACTTCCCAACCATAACACTGCAGAGAAGAGCAACAAAAAATGGTGCAGCATCCCATGTTTCAGGAGGGGCAAGAGGTCCAGGTACATTCTGCTGCCAGATGAACAGCTCCTGAGGAGGATCAGGCCAGACTACCCACCACATGCCTTCTGCTTTCACATACTGTGTTTATGCTTATTTTTCAGGTAATTTCACTTTATCAATGCAAGTCCAAGGTTTATTTATTTCCTCCCATGTTCCTTTCTCCATTCCCCTTCCTCGTATACCTGGAGAGGCACACACCTGGGCCATGATTATGTACTGAAGAGCAACTTAAGAATCTATTCACTTCTGCCCACAGCATTTTCAGAGGCCTTGCAGGAAGGCTCTGAGGAAGCAATGAAGTAAAAACAGCTGGGGCAATGTACAAGGTGTGCAGAACAGACTGCAAGGTCACAGGTCACCCAGCAGGACACAGGGAGGGAGGAGCAGATGTGTCTGCTGGTCCAGCTCCACAGGACACATCAGCTTTCCATACACAATAAAGCCACCACTCCTCCTCCACTGTCACCTTCACTCACTCCTGAAGGATGCAATGCTTCCAGAGAAAAGTACTGCTCCATGGGACAGCTGACAGCAAAGGGGAAGAGGTTCATGCTGATAGAAGTAGGTCAGTCTGGTCCAAGCAGGGATGGGCAAACTGCCACCAGCTCCCCAGGGGTAGAGCTTTTATGTCTGTGTTTCTTTCCTGGTCTTCTTTACATTATCATTGGGGTAAGGAATGATTTTGGTTTTGAGAAAGGTTCAAGTCATTAAGCAGCTACTGAAGTCTGTGGTGTTCCAAAAAGGAACAACTGCACCAGCATCCCTCTACACTCATGTAGTAAGAGTATACTGCTTTCATGGACTAGAGTGGACTGGTGATAGAAACTCTTATGTGTATTAAAACAGTTTATTAAAACAGGAAATGAGAACTCAGATATAACTACTTTTATTACCAAAAATGAATCTGATGCATTTACTGTATTCAGTACTTTTCTTTTAAAATTTATCTTTTATTCACTCATCAAGAACCAATAAGTTATAGAAATCAGAGTAGTTTTCATTTCCTTACCCAAGTAGTCTACAAGATTTATACTTTGTTTTAATGCTGACTCAGTAGCACATTAGATCTTTACAAAGTGTGTACTGGGCTTAGTTTTCCATGTAGATTCTTCTCAGACAGGCTACTTGTCTTGCACAGATCTCCATGAAAACTCCTCCATGTTATTAGCAGAGCCTTGTGGTTCCCTGGAAGGTTCCAAGTGCATTGAGGTCAGGTGTCAAGGCACACCCCCACTGTGCAGGTCCACTGGCACCCCAAGGACCAGCCCCCAGGCTGGCAGTGCCACCCGAACCCTTCTGCCTCCCACTGCTCTGGAGAGGAAGCCACCAGCTACCCCAAAGCTCCCTGATGAAGGCAGGGGCAATGATTCCATGTGACAGATGTTAAACCAAATACTCTTGAATTTAATTATGCTAAGAGCTGCAGAAGGTTAAAACCATAGACAAATGCACAGAACTGTCAATGACAATGAACCAAGGTGGCAACATTGTCATCCTCCTGCTTTAAACAGTGTCTAAAGCAACTTCTAAACAAGTACAACTTGGGTTATTCATGTAGAACTGAAACCAATTTCTGTTTGCTTCACCTAGCATGAAGGGTTTTCCAGCACTTTGGGAACTTGGAACTAGGCCCATGGTTGCCTTTTTCCCATCTGCTTCTCATGAGCAGGTGTTCTGTTTTGCATACCAGTAATAGGTTTTCCCCCAATAACAATGCAATCTAGTTTTCATGGTAACACACAAGCATTCTAGTCTTGCTCCTCTTCATCTCCATCCTCATCTTCATCCCCCTGATCTCCAGATTCAATATCATCTTCATCTTCAACCTGAAATCAATACAAGACCTGCTATGAGCAGTAACATCCCTTACTCTGATCCAACCTTGTGAAGGCAAGACAAATGCTGAGGGAGTGCAAGTGAGCTTAAAGCTATGCTATAGTTATCATGCCAGATCAATCAGTGCTTAATAAAGGCAAATTGGCATCTTGTAGTGTCACAGCTTTTTACTTCTCCCTAGGGATGGCTGACTACTGGGGGCAACAGGCAGCGCTCATCTTGTATTGCTGGCTGCCAAAGTAAGCTGAGAAAGGAATTCTGGTAGATTTAAGAGCCCTCTGTAGAAAGGGGCCTTAGACCCTTAGAGCATCAACTCCTGCCAGACCCAGGCTGCTCACACCCAACTCCTCCCCAGTCCCATTCCTTGGCTTACCGGTACACCGAGGTCCTTCAGCTTGATCTTCAGTGCAGAAAGCTTCTGGTCCTGGTCAGCCAAGAGCACCAGAAGATCATCCTGTTCCTTCTTGGATTCTGCAACTTCCTGCTGCAGTTTGCTTTTCTCATCTTGCAAGATGGCAACTGTACTACTGGTTGAGTCAAGGTGCTGCTGCAGTGATGCTTTTTCCTCAGAAAGAGCTTTGACTTCACTCTGGCAATGGAAAAACCCCACACTAAATTACACCATAAGCACAGTAATGTCTGAAGCTCTGATTTCCTACCAATTCCATACACTAGCCCTAACAGCTCTAACCCACCAAGTGCCCTGTGGTGCTCCTGCACTTTTTCATCCAAACAATTATCCAACTTGCAGTAAAGTGGGACCAAGTCTTCAACAGTGGCTATCTTCCTCTGCAAACTGGACTGGTCCATGTCAGAGTAAAGCCATTTTCTAGACTGTCTTTCTCAACTCTTAAAGGCAGACAATGCCTACATTTCCCAAGTGAAAAATGAAGGAGACACATCCAGCTTCTCCTACATAGTCTGAAACACTTAAGATGGTGAGGAAATAAGCCACTTTCATCTCAAGCCTTTGCTGTTGTAGAAGCCCTCCTCGCTGAAGGCTGAGTATCAAGTGGCTACGGTTGATGTTTACCCACTACCAACCTTCAGTTCTTTGATTTCCTGCTCCAGTCGTCCCTCCAATTCCAAGCTGGTTGCTGCTGTTGCCCCACTGTCTCCCAGCACTGGATCTGCAGTTGTACTCTGTGGATAAGCAATTCACTGTCAGTGCCTCACACACAAAGACAACAAGCTGAGACATTGCACAGTCAGTTGGAGAATTTCAAAGCACTTTCTTTTTACAGCACAACCATGGTATGATTGTTACATACATCATGTGCTGCAAGGCATCAGCAAACAGATCTGTGCTTCATGGAATCTCCATGAACCTGTATCCACATGTACACCAAAAAGAGAACACAAGGTGCAACTGTATTTCATAGGAGCTGTACCTTTTCTAGGCAGACCCTATTACAGACAACCCACCTTCACTCTGATGCTTCTCAAGTGCCACAGAAGTCCGTTCATTAGGCTAAAATAACAACAGTTTCACCCCAGCCAGCCCTGCCCAAAGTTATTATTCCAAAAATGTGGCAGCTGCCTTTCAGCTAAAACTGCCACACGGCACAAATTCAAGACCATTGCTTCTCCTGTTTCAGGCACAGCTCTGTGCAAAGGAGGCAGTCCATTGGGAGGTGGCCTGACAGCTGGTGGCAGCAAGGGACACTTGTACACTTCTCTGCCTCGTGAGCACACATAGCCAGCACATGTGCAATGGCATCTTCCATCAGAGCAGCTAAGAGCTTGGACAGCGGCAGTGCTCAAAGCCTTACTCTCACAGACCATCTGCACATCAAACACTTGTCCATTGTTCTTGTGGTCTGTGTTTCTGCAGCTTTACCTGTTAGCTCTGCTGTGCAAACATGTGCAATGTCTCCATACAACTTATTCAGTTCTGTAGTTCAAGGTTCACTTTCTAAAGCTGTTTGCTAGTTTTGAGGACACAATCCCATCTATTTAACTGTTCTGTGAGGCTTTACTTCCTAGAGAAGTGTAGCCAAAAAAAAACTCTGAAGCATTTGGAGGCCTGGACAGACAGATGCACCTACCATTTGCTATTCAGCTTTCCAATTAGTATCCCCAGCTGCCTGTAAGAATGTTGATCCCTCTCTGTACATGATATCACACAGTTGTGTCTCACCAAAGACTGTCTCCTTGAAGTAGGGTGCAAGTTAGAACACTGAATAGTTGTATTTGTGTAAAAATAGCAAGGACCAATGCCCTCACAGAGCACTAACCTGACTGGAAGACCCCTCTGTCCTCATGAGAGATTTGTCTAGGTAACTCATTACTTAAAACACTGTTGGAATCACTTCCTGATGAGTATTTCTGAAACAAGCTTGGTTTAGAACAGTAGCTACAGACAGCATAAGCAGGAAAGGAAGTCTTCAAGATTTAGTCCCCAGAGAGAAAAATCGACTTGTTCACTGGTACCATTACCTGTAGCTTTTGATTCTCCATCTGAAGTTTAGAGATTTCTGCAGCCTGTAGCTGTATCTGACTCCTGAGCATTTCCAGTTCCTTTGGAAAACAGAAACAAATCTTCAGAGTTCATTCAATAAAGCAAGGTATTCACATTCCATTTTTCTGACCTTAAATGCTACCAGACTGGCTGCTTCATCCTAGCAGATGTGAGAGGAAAGCTGCCCCTCTCTCAATGGGAGCACGGCAACCATTTCTCTAGCAGACCAAACTAGACAGCAGCATGCCCCAATTTCCACCCTGCTCTTACAAACCCTTTTCTGTGGAATGCCCATCCAAGGCACTCATCTGAGACTCATCATCTGTGCATTACTCTTTTTGGTGCAGAAACCCGTGAGGGCTTACTAATCCAAGCATCAGTAACTCTCTGCTGAGAGAACTCTGCCAGCTATTTTTTGAGCAACAGCTACCTTAAATGACTGAATCTGCAGCTCTTTAAACACTCGGTCTGTGCTGTACAATCTAATACCTGCAAACTTTCATATCAACACTTAATGATACATTTTGCCATAGGTAAACAGATTCTGCACATCCGAAGAGTCAGTCCAAGTGTCTTCTTTTGGCTCTAACCTGCTTAGCAAAACCCACCGGTGATTTTTTTGATGCATCACACTGATGCTCCCAGGTTAAGGGCATCACAAAGACACATCATTAAAACCAGCAACTTGTTCCTCCCTGAGGTCTGACAAAGCTCCCTTCCCATGCCTGGCTATCCCTGTCCACCCCAGCTTTGCTCAAACACCACAAGTTCACCTTCTGTAGATCATTACTGTGCTCCAAGCCACCAGATTTGCTGGTCTCTGAAGACTGCTCTGTTGTTCCCATTTCCAACTGGGAAGACTTCTGTAACAACAACAAGAAAATCAGCCTCAGAACTAAAAATCTAAATATAGTCATCTTGTCAGAAGGCAGCAAACTATGCTTGCATGATCAAAGCTGCCAGCAGAGGAGGTGCAAACAGGCTAAGAAATGCACATCAAAGCTCTCTGATTACACGAGAGCAGCTGGATGGTCTCCTCTAAGGTGGGTGCAAAAGCCTCTTCCACCAGTGCAAACGCAGGAGACATTCTGCACCAAACAGAAGCAGTGTATGTCACCCTGCACTGTGACAGCCAGGCCACCAGCAATATGTCTCAGGCTCCTGGGACATTTCCATCATTTCTTCCCACCCAAACCATGCTAAAAAGCATTTAATCTACATCTGCAAATTCCTCATGGCAACAGATGAGGCTCTGCTCAAGCCACCTCTCACCACATTCCCTATTTCCAGCATGCCATCAGTCAGGATGGCTTGGCTGCCACCGTCATGAGGATGTGCACAGCTTAGGGCAAGCAACATCTGAAACCAGGAACTGGCAGCTGAGACAGCACTTACCAACTGTTCTATCACAGAATCCTTCTCCCTTAGCTGCCCTTGCAGCAGCTCATGCTTGCTTTTCCATTCTTCCAACTCCTCTCTCAACTTGCTCACTTCTTCTGTCTGGATACCATTCATCTGAAACGTGTCACTGTGGGAGTTATGGTGCTGGGAGTCCTTTCCTGAAGGGCAAGAGTTGATAGCAAAGGTCAAACGTAATTTTCAAGTTAGCTTCAAATACACCAATTCAAGCACTTACTGTCTGTCCCCCTCTTGCCCTGCAGGGCAATACAACCCATGCTAACTCAAGCAGGGTACTTAAGAATCCTCTAAATAAAGTAATAATTAAAAAACATTCAATTCCAAGCTCTAATTTGCCACTTCTACAGGTATATGTGCTGCATGCTGCTTCAGTCATTCAGCTCATCCAAACTAAGGTCATAGACCAATTGCTCTAGACAGGAAGGAGAATTGTTTCCTTACATTTCTCAGTCACAACTCATTGTGAAGACAGAGTTGCTTTTTGAAATCATGCCATATCCAGCTAATGAGGCACCTTGACCTTGGAGTAACATTGATATCCTGCCCTGACTTAAGCATTAAATCAGCAGTCTCTCTAGTGACAGTTACAGGCCTCATCTCACACATCTGCCATACCACCATTTCCCTAATCTGGGCTTCCATTCCAGACCCAAACCCCAGCACAGCCCTGGGCTACCTGTTTGTGTTCTGAGCATGAACAGGCAGTGACTGGCTTGGATTAACTTGAACTGAGGCAGAGGCAGCCTGTCCCAGCAGCTCCCTGGTAGCCAGCAGTTCCCCAGCAAGCACGAGCCCTTACAGCCCACAAAGCTGTCTGCTGCAGCTCTTGAAATCACTTTGCACAAGCAAGATGACCCTGCATTATCCCTGCTGAAGCCTACCTAGCTGTACTTTGAGGAGATTGTACTGGTCCTTGTGCTGTTGGATCTGTGACACTTGCTGTGTCACTGTTGCCTGGAGCTGCTCATTTTGAGATGTTAAAGTGTTAACTCGTTGTTTTAGCTCTTCAAGCTCCTGGTCCTGCAGAAGGAAAAAAGGCACAGAGACTAGGAACACTTTTGAACAGAATTCTGTCAGGAAAGTGAATGAAGACAAAGAAACCTGAACTCCACCATTACACACTACTGGTTAGTGCCCCCTGGGACAGGAAAAGAACTGGAGAGTATTCTAAGCACTGACATTTCAGCTGACCCAGAACCTGGCATCAGTGTTTTCAGAAGTGTTTCTGCATTGCTTTGTTGCCTGTTACTTGCTTTGGGACATGGGGTATCAGACTGCACTGTGGTGTCTCTGAAAAGCCAGAACAAAAAAGACATCTGGAAGCACATGCACAGGGTAACTTCCTCTTACCTGCTCTCTGATGACCTTCTTGTAGTGAGTCACTATGTTGTCATGCTGTTCCAATGTCTTCTTGACCTCCTCCTCCTTTTTATCTTCCTCACTGGACTTGTAAATGGCTTTACTGATGACACCTGTCAAAAACGGTTTCTGTCAACAGCCCAGGTCACATCTCTTTGTCCTTAAAGCAGTGTCACAGCCTCACAGTTTGAGTTTATGGCATTAGAAACTCAACCTGCATGTTAATGAGCAATTGTCACAAAAAGGTTTAATAGGAAATGGCAGTATTGTTATGGCAGTGTTTGCACACTTACTGCTTTCCTCAGGCTCAGTATAGCAAATGGGTGTTTGGAGTCCTTCCTGTCAGAAAAGGTGTGTTTTACTTGCACTATGGCTCCTTTACAGCTACTGCCCAAGAAGTGCCAGACTTGGGACTGAAAGGGCAACATGCAGATCAGACTGCTTGAGCAAACCCATCTTGACAGTTGGTGCTTTGAGGTTTTTTCCTTCTCTAGACTGATTTAAGTTGGGCAACATTAATAAACAGGACACCAGTTAGATGTTAAGGATGATGAAACCTGTGAAGGGCAAAACACCAAAGAAAGTGTCTCTCATTTCCTACCAGAGCATGAAATAGAGCATTTGTGGTTTTTCTTAGTAAATCAGGTAGAAACAGCCAATATCTGGACTGCATGTGGCCAGGAATCAAGCTTCTGTGACCATCCCACATGCTCAATACTGCAGTCTCCACATAAGCACAGGTAAACACACCTCTTGGCCAGTGTGGTAACTCACAGCATCTATTAAGAACCATTTCACCTAAGAATATCAAGTAATCCAGTTAGAATATTTTTACCACACACTTAACCTGCAGGCTTGGGTATGTGATCTCTCACAGCTATTACTGTAACCCTTCAGTATCATCACACTACTTGGGAGAGCATTACATTCACCACATTTGGTAGTTCAGCCATCAGTGCATCACAGAAACTAGAGAAATGAGCATAACATTTCACCTTCCAACTCCTTGACCAGCTTGGTAAATTCATGATCAAACATCATGTGGTCTGGGCTGGAGAAACTGGGCTGTGGTTTCTGAGCAGCTCTGGAATAAAGTTCATGTTTGCTAATGAAGCCAAGCTTCTCAACAAAGTTCTCCCTGCCAATCCTCTTCTCAATCAACTGCTTCAGCTTCTCTCTAAAAGGAAGAGTCAAATCAATCACAGTGCAACACAAGAAATGAACCCAGCCTTCCCTCAAGGTGGTTTCTGCAGTTCCAGCTCTTATTATCTGTCTCAAATCTTAACCACACTGCTCTGTCACATTTAAAAGGCTCCAAGCTTCTCAACAAAGTTCTCCCTGCCAATCCTCTTCTCAATCAACTGCTTCAGCTTCTCTCTAAAAGGAAGAGTCAAATCAATCACAGTGCAACACAAGAAATGAACCCAGCCTTCCCTCAAGGTGGTTTCTGCAGTTCCAGCTCTTATTATCTGTCTCAAATCTTAACCACACTGCTCTGTCACATTTAAAAGGCTCTTACACCACGTCCTTCACGTTTTTTTTTTGATGTTCCTACATCATACTTACTTCCTATAATTCTCAAGGGAGTTGTCATTGTAGTAGATGGAAATGCCAAGCAGAAGTGCACAGAGGCCTTGAACAAGCTGCTCCTCTTCTCCAAGGTTTTCAGCTATCTGCCCTGTGAGCTACAGCTCTTGTTAAGGATGTTGGAGATATTTCATTGTCACAACACATGCAAACACACTTCTCCCTGTACACATTCCCAATACAATTGTTTTCACTTGTAAATCCAGGCTGGACTAGGAAGTCGACAGAAGAGCTGATAAAAGCCTCACAAAGCCAACTCCTATCTTGAAGCACTTGGCTAATCAGTGGTTTCCCTGACATTTCTTTTTTCAGTAACTGCCTGTTTAACCCAAGAGATTAGCTGTTCCAAAACAGACTTTCAGTGCAGATAGGGTAATAAGTTTGGCCTTAAAAAACAAGCACAGAAAAAAGCTTTAACAGAAGTATGAAGCCTCTTGGGTGTAAACTTAATCCACACTCAAAATGTCTGGGGGCTTGTTACAATAACCATACACTTGGCTGGTGGACTGAGGTGGTTTTACACTGTACTTTGACATGTGCATCTTAGGGACAGCTCAGTGCACATGGAGGACTGGGAACAAAGGGCTGGTTCTTTCTCTTGGCCCCATGTGTTTCCTTAGATGCTGTGCAGAATCCCTGTAAACCCATCTGGACAAACACTTAACTTGAAAGTGAATAAGCCAAGTCATGTCTAAGCAAGGGATTCTACTCTGTGAGCAGGCCAAGGATACAAAAGGGACATTGGCTGGATTGTGAAGGAAGTGGGTGACAGCAATGGAGCAGTTGCTTAGCCAAGTGCAAAGCAACATCAGTAGTCCAACCCTGGTCTGTACTTTGCTGCCCTGAAAAGAAGAAAACTCCCATGGTTACTTTCCCACAGTGGAGACCTGAAACACAGAAACCAAGCTGTACTCAATCAGAACTCACCCACTTCCACCAAGTCATGGCTTGGAAAATAGCCACTTGTTAGAGATACTGAACACAGCTTTAGTGCTGGGATGGAACAAGGATTACACCACCCATATCCAACTGTTTTGAGAGCAAACCAGCAAGCAACAGATGTGAAACGTGACTCAAGGCACATTAGCACCAATGTAAAACCACAACAAATTAGTTCTGCATTTTTAATCTAAGGGTGACATGAAGGAACATACACACAACCCCTGTAAACAAGGAACAAGGGGTATATTTAGTGAGGTAAGGATTCCCTGGAAGAGATCATCACCAGGGCTAAATTGCCAGGTGTTCCTGCTATTTTTAATAAAGACAATACTGGACTGGCTTTCCATTCAGACCATGTGCACATTAAGCCAGCGAGAGTAATGTTAACTGCAGTGTTTTATTTTTGTGAACTACAGAAAATGAGTTTTCAATTGACTATGTTAATTTTATCTCTGCTGCAGGTGTCTGGACCCAGCCTCCATCTCTTCCAACAGTAAACATTCAGATGGCAACCAAGAGTGTTTCCTGCATGGAGAACTGAATTTCCCAGGAGCACCTAAAAAATCCTGTAAAGTAACTGAAAACTCCAGTCAATTGTTTAAGGCAAGATGATGTATATAGAACTGCTGGGATAGCTTCAAAATGGGCCAAGGAAATACACTGGAATGAGTGGTCACAGGGATCAAGATGGTGGAAGTATGCATCAACACAGAGAAAGAGACTGTGCTTTAGACACTGGACTTCATCCTTGCCTCTGATAACCCCTATGCTTTATACCTCAAGACTGTTTTTAGCTTCAGCTAAGCATTAAAGGAAAAATAAAGGCCTACAAGGTCTTAGATTAAGCCAGTTTGCCCATGGAAACAGCCAGTGAGCAGCAGCGTAGCACAAAGCTCTGCTGCGGCAGTCTGTCAACTACCCATTTGCCATTGTGGTCCACAGTACACCAGGACTTGAGTCTGGCAGCTCTGGAAGGAAACACAAAGCTCCAAAGAGAGAATGCCTTAAAGGACTTCCTTGTGAGGTGCTGTGATTTGCTGCAGTGTGCCACCAAATAAAACCATGTTCTTAAAGGAGAACAGAGATAACAGATATCGAGACTGTGGCACTCATCCCTAATGCTGCACACATAAGAAAAAGATTAAGAAGGGCCAGACACTCCCTGTCATCACCATGACCTCCAGACTGCCAAGCAACCCATGTCAGAGCAGCAGAGAACACAGCTATCAGCACCTGTCTCCCGTTTCATGGTGAGTACTGCACACCCTCAGAGCAATCTTTGCTTAGCCTTTGCTCTGGATTCATCTGCAGCTGTGCTGTGACCCTGCCATACTGTCCACGACCTGCATACAACACTTGCACATTTCCCTTCCCTTTCATTTACCAATACTGGTTCTTATTGTCCCAACACTACCAGCCAGGCCATATACCAGGCAATAATGCCTGTACCTGGCAGCACTGCCCTGCAGCACATGGCCACGCCTTGGGCTTTGAAGGACTGCGGGCAGAGCGTCCCTTACCTCATCGGAAACATGGAGTTTCTTTAGCCTGTGCGTCCCAGCACTTTCAGCACACCTTCTGTGCTGGAAGCAGCTGGAAGCCACACTTGCTCTCAAGCACTGTATGCTTTTCTGAGGTTAAATTAACACATTCTGCCTAATGAATTTCACAGTCCAAAACACTCCCTAAAAAATAACAGCTATTTTCTAGACCTACTCTTGACAGAAGGCAGCTCTCCATGGCTGCTACTCTACACTTCAGGGCTGGTAATAGCTCAACCCCACCCCTCGGGACAGTTGTGATCAATGGGGTAAGTAACACACACAATTCCACAGCAGCAGTATTTCAGAGTTCTTTTTTTCCACCACCAATAGCCAACTTAGCAAGGCTTTAAGTAGCAGCCTAGAAGTCAAATGAGTCTTCAGAGTCATGTGCTAGCAATGAGATCCCCACTATTCACAACCAGTAGAGCCAAGGTTAAAGTTTCTGCTGCTAAGTAGAACATACAAAGTGGCTGGAAGGCTGGTTAAACAGTTTTTAGCCATCAAGACATCAGCAGCATGTTCCCACTTCAGAGGGTGCCTGCTCTTTGCTACAGGCCAGTCAGAAA